AAAAGCACTGAATTTTACATGGCTTGCCATTTATAGGCCACATTAGCACTCATTACACCACTACGATTTTGAAAGGGGGTAGAATGCGGGGCGCATCCAAAAAAACTGAGGTGATCGACTTTATCCTTCTACCCATTTATAGTGTTCCTCTAGGTACCATCGTTGGAAAGAAAATCGGAGAGATAGGTGCACGAATGAACAAAAAAGTATCGCTCGAGATGGGAGGAAAAAATGCTGCCATCATTTATCCTTCATGCGATCTTGATCAGCACTTGCCAGTAATCGCCAGGTACGAGTATTCTCAGCACATATTCCTCAACCTAGATGCAACTTTAAATTGTTTTTAAACCCATTTTTTACTGGACTATTGCAATTATCGCTCGGCGCCGGCTCTCAGTCCCAAATTTCCTATCCAATTTGAATATAGCCTTCGTAATAAGTCCATGCTTTGTAGAGGTTCGTAAAAATGGCACTCAAGTGAGCCATCAGTGAAAGAAAATTCTCGCTGTAGCTCAATTCCGGCTCCTACGCTTATGACGCGTCCGTTATTTATTCATGGTTCTTTGAAGATGAAGCCCTTGGTTGACTATGAATGAGTTTTAATGGAAATCCATCCCATTACATGTAGTAGCTACGAGTATTGGTGTTGTTCCTTCCCTACCTGAGGGCGAAAAATTGGTACTCAATGAATACTGGTGTTTGAAGGGTTAAGCCATGCTGAGCCTTACTATCGTAACGAGTCTTACTATCGTTTTACTATTGTTCATTGTATTAAGCACCACCCGGCTACACAATGCTATGACAGAGGCTCCGCTCACATCCAAATGCCCCCACTATTTCCATTGAGGGCGAATGCGTGGCTCATCCTAGAAAACTAGAATGAATGCTGAGCGTCTCGCCATTCTGGGAACAAGCTGCACCCAACATCGGTTTTGGACGTCTGAAGAGTCCGAGGCCGTGGAGTTTCGGCAATCTTTCTCGAGACTTTTGTGTATTACTAGAAAGTCCCAAATGCTTCCATTAACTACTAGTAACTCAGCGCTATTCCAGTACCCCATTTATGACAGTAATTCTTCACTTCAGGTCTTGCTTCATCAATCAAGGAGAAATCTGCCTATGTTCGAGCAGGATATTCGTTCACGCAGCTATATATGAAAAATTTGTAAAACGACTAGTAGAGGAAGCAAAAAAGGTCCGTTTTTCACTTTGTATCATCATTACAAATTTCTGAGAAAAGTTTCCTAGTCGCCTGCCCCTTAGCCGGCAGTGAATTACTGATGAACTCAGTTCTAGCTGTAACAATGCAGAATGCCCTAAAGAAGAAAGCTACAAAAAGATGGTTCCCTTATAAGCTCTCGATAACAAACACCGCATGGGGCCAACTTCTATAATAAATTATTGATTATCGCTTACAGTAACTTCTTAACGGCTTCGGTAGGATAGCACGCAAAGCATGCACCTGTACCCATTCAATGGATTCCACATGGTTTATTCTACGACTACATTACGTGGAGGGTCTATAGGTACCTAAGTTTCCTCTCCATGCTGAGTGGGCAAGGGCAAGATCCCAGTGCCATCATCCGTTATGACTTGCCTCTTTCGGCGACTCCAGCTTTATTGCTAATTGAACAAAGTACAAGCCTGGGATCGGAAATGTTCCCTTGGCAAGTTGAAAACCCTTGGATTACTGGTAAGAATATTGAGTAATACTACCGCATTTGTTTTTTTTTAAGTTCAGCGTCGGAGATCCCGCCAAGGACGTGACGCTTGGTGCCATGAATTCGAAGGCGCATTTTGAAAAGGTGATTTTTTATATATTTATTTCATACACTTAGATTTGTTCTCAACTTGGAGGTGTGGTGCACGGTAATCTCAATATGCCTACGTTAGGTAAAATTATGGAAGTTATGATGCACAATAGTGCAAAGGTGGAAAAGAAAAAAATACCAAAAAATTTGCCGATTTGAAGGGAAAAAAGTTGTGAAAAAAGGGCTGTACGAGATTATTGTGGCAGAAGTGGCATGGAAGGGGTATTTGGACGAGTTGTCAGTTGTGTGCTGTTGTTTAGAGCTGCTACAGCAAGCCAAAAATTGCATTCCTTTCTCTCCATGGGTCACAACCATTTGCTTGAATTTCCAACATGCATGCTCCAGTGTGAGTAGTGCACCACTAACAAGGCCGGCATAACACGGCCACTTTGGGGTGTGTACGTCGGCCAAGCCATTATTTCAGCCTTTGTAGCTCCCTGTCGAGGTCGTCTTCCGAGGGGGCAACATGTTCATTTCAGGGAGAATCTTCAGAAATTTTTATCGCGAGCTGTGCCTTTGATGGATGAAGTTTTCTAAACTTTCTAAGTAATTTTGATTGTTCAAGACCTTCTCTATAATTCTGTTT